TAGTGGCCTACGTGTTTCTCCCTTAAAATTCTTCTAACAGTCGGTCGGTAAGGGGCTCAATGTTGCGCATTTCGGAAGGAATACGAAAGAAGATCATGTTGTGCTGTCATGTTTATTATCAGAACACGACAACCTCCCAAGTTTTCAAGCAACTTAAGTCAATATTGCTTACTTGTTAATATATCTACAAACCTACACTTTCTAATATTTCCGTGAATAGGCCTTATCTTGCAACTTATTCCACTTATATGCAGACCATAATCACTGTTCTTGAACCCTTAGGCCGTTTACTTCGTCGCCTCTGAATGCAAACTGAAACATGTCTTCTATGAACATTATCTGTTATCGCCGTTCTGACGATGTTAATCTTGAAGGAATATGTCACAATAAGATTACTGTCTTCTGAGATGCAACGACATGTACTTAGCAGAGATTTACCGACGTTTCGGAGGAACGTGATGCCTCCGTCTTCGGGGCAGAAGACAAGAGACAGGAAGCCAGTAATCTCCATAGACATTGATGACACTCAAATCTTGTTTTTCAAACTCCGTGGCCTGCAGTCCGCAAGCGAACTATACCGACCGAGCGACAGCCGCTTGTCGGCGAAGTTAGTGCCAACTTCCCTGCGCTATCAGATATTTTGAGAAGGAGTGGGTCTCGAACGGGGTCCACTCAGCCTCGTGAGGATAACTGAGGAGCTATTTCAAGGAAATAGCGGTTCCGGTCTAGAAAACCGAGATTAATGGCCGTGGGGATTCGTTGCGCTGACCACGCGACACTCTGTATCCGCTAAAGTTGGCAAGCTCGTTTTTCATTATAAAATATATAAAATATGCTAATAACGCGTCTAATCATTGACAGTCAACTGCAGGTTTGCGGTCATACTCATTACGTTTCGGTTCTACGATGCCACGTCTCTGGCATTGGCCTAGTGTCATCCTAAATTAGAAGGCTGTTAACACTGATCAGGTTTCCATATTATTTCGATCTATGAACACAATCGTGCGCACGGTCGTGTGTGTTTTTGCAGACGTGATGAGACGTATGTCGTGCCATCATGAAGTCAAATAATTAACGGTACGCCACGGTTCCCACGGCGGTCTGGGTCACTGCGGTGGGTCGTAATGGCTTGTTACGGGAGCGCGCGTGGCAGGGGTGAAGTGCAGTGTGACCGACAGGCCGATGAGTCAACTACCGGTGATAAAACGCGAAGGTAAAATTGTTATCCTCACTACCGTGAAACTGTAGTGAGCATTCTGAACAACGGAGCATTAAGACTACAGTATTCTTCAGTGTGACGCCGTGTAGTTTGGATGATACCACGGTTTCGGATGAACTTGCTGCCTCAGACTTCAGGTCTGAAGACGAAAGCAGCTGGCTCCTCTGAAACGTTGGTCTCTACCAAATTACATTATATCACATCACAAGAAACCGAAATATTAGCATTAACCACTAAGAGAGCCTCAAATTTTTAACGGTGATTTCATCTCCGTGTACAAGTAAGGGAGGAACATAGACTGAGGTTGTTGAGGGGAATATTTGGACCGAAGAGAGATGAAGTGACAGGAGGTTGGAGAAAACTGCACAATGAGGAGCTTCATAACTTGTACTCTTCTCCAACTATAATTAAAATGATCAAGTCAAGGAGTATGAGATGGGCAGGGCATGTAGCACGAATGGGGGATAGGAGAAATACATATAGGATATCGGTGGGAAAGCCGGAAGGAAGGAGAACACTGGAAAAACCAAGGCGTAGGTGGGTGGACAATATTAAAATGGATCTTAGAGAGATAGGATGGGATGGTATGGATTGGATTGGTCTGGCTCAGGATAGGGACCGCTGGAGGGCTCTTGTGAAAACGGTAATGAACCTTCGGGTTCCATAAATGCTGGGAAGTTCTTGAGTAGCTGCACAATTGGCAGCTTCTCAAAAGGGCTCAGCTTCATGAGTGAGCGAGTACCAGTAACACTGACAGACCAACATGGCCTAAAATTTGTCCATAACGTTTATTTAGCAGTTATTTCAATGGCTGCGAAACCTGGTAACTATTTCTGAGGGATGAACATACGACGAGACCGTCTGAATGTATCCTAACAATCCTTCTGCCGGTCGGGCGAGGGGGACATATTCTACTTGCGTCATTTCGCAACGAGCCCTTCCGAACTCCTCACGTAGTCGAGCAGTAGCCTACACACATTACAATAATTTTCCCTCTAATATCACCCAAATAAATCGTTTATCAGCTACTCTGAAACAAACTTATGTATTATGTTCCCATCGACTATAACACCAAGCCCCTGTTTCTGTATTGACACGCAATCAGTTGCGTTACTTCTTATGTCGAAATGTCAAGCAAGAGCTAGGATTATCGAGTAGCTCTCAGACGAGTTCCCTTAGACTGAGGGTGTTAGAAGGCCTACGAAAGAGGAAGTAGCACGGAAATGTGAAGAATTACACAATGAACAGCTTTACTTGATAGGATTTTGTTATGATGTTATCAAGAAGGACGAGAGATATAAACGTAAGAATAACATTAAAAAGGATCTTAGTGAAATAGGTTTTGAATTTTGGATATAGTTCGAACTGTCCCGTGTTTGTATCAAACGATGGATTTTTGTTATAATGTGTTGTGGACATCTGTAATCCAGACAACACAAACTCTCTTTTCCAACAACTTCCTGTTGTTCAAGAAACACCTTGTGCCGTGGAACTGGTTGGTTAGAGTACTTTTCCTACTTACTTTAGGAAAACCGTACAGAACACTACCAGACTCAAATACTTTTAAGTGTAACAGTACTAACCTAACAATAAGATGAAAGTGGGGTAAAACTGTCTTGCTCAGTGACCGGACAAAAAAGTTAAGGATAACAAAATGCATAACTGTGTAGTGCCCAAAAGTGAATCAAAGTCATGTCTACGACAGTATTTCTCGTTCTTGTTACACCACCATCACCTGCAAAACAAAAAATAGTTTGTCAACAGGGTTCGAAAAACGACGTGAGTAATTCGTGAATAAAAACACTCATGGTTACATTTACTCGTAGCAGTAGAGTTTGTCGCAAAGTATGTCTTCAACTATTGTCCTTCTGAGTAAATTCGAAAAATCATATCCGTCTTCCTAGTGGAGAAAGGCAAAGTTACTGCCCCCAAAATAAATTTAGTAGTTCACGAATTTGTTTTAGAATTTTTGTTTTTTATAAATGATTCATTTTATTAATGAAGAATTTCTAAGAATTTACTTTCTCAACCGCCCTGATGGTGGTTTTCCCTAACTTCCTGTAACACTAAACTGAGGGTCGTGAAGGTATCTCGCGTGGGTTCCAAAATTAAAGACATTTTCGCAATATGCTTTAGGCGTCGAAATTGTGTTTTCTATTAGATTCAAAAATCTCTCTATATTACGTTTTATGAAATAAGTTACAATTATTCTTCCAAATTATGACATTTGCTCTGATGTAGATTTGTAAGTAAGTAATCTGATGTAATGTCGACAGTTATGTGGCTGCAAAAATTGCTTAAAGAAGGTCGGAACTGAAGCGAATCTGCTGTTAATAAACTGGGATGATATCACTAACTTTCTATCGAATCTGACTTCTTTCCCAGTGCCTGAAGACGTTATAACTATCTTCCTCAATATCTATACATGTGAGAACGAACTGTAACAAGCGCTTTCATCTTGTGCCGGTTATTGACTTCAGCTCTTCTACTTATCTGAAGCGTCTACTTAGTTCTGAAAAGCCATCCCCACTCCTGCTAAATATGGCTAAACATTCGGAAAGAACTGGAACCAAAAACTCACTTTTTCGTACTCCATGCAGGGCAAAAGTTAAAAATAGCATCACCTGCGAAAGACCACTCTTGAGCAGCTCAGAGAATCCGCAACATGATACAAATTACGTCGTTTCAAGGGTCAACCATTAAAACGATCTCTTCCACTGCTAACACCAAAGAGTTTCGTCTACGATAGGCTCAGACTATATCAGAGAGCACGTATGGAGCCAAGGACTACTTTCTTATACCAACGTCACAAACATTATTTCATTCATTATAACCTCTCGCACATTGGTGGCCTTAGTTGAACTAGGGGATGGGCGTACAAACATGTGGGTTTCGGTTGATCCAAGAAAGGACTTATTAGACTTATTTTAAACATATTTCATTACGTAAACCGAGCATAAAACGTAAAGAAAGTTGTTTGAGAAGAAAAACTAAACCCCCCACCATGAGTACACATAAATTACGCCGTTTTAGAGAATATTTAGATCATGTATCATGTATCCTGTACTTACACTTTTAGACATATCTCGATATCCACCGAGCCGAATTAAACGAGAATTCTGTGTTTTTTATTTTAATGTACATGAACTTCACAATAGAATAATAGCTCCGACAACAAAATTCCAGTAACAATTCGCAAGCATGCTTTAACGCCACCGGTGATACATGTGGGCAACGTGCGCCCAGTAGATGTCAGCGCGTGTTCATCCTACAGCCATCTACTGGCAGTTATTTGTATCATCTGCGCCATCTATTTGGCAATGCTCGTACTATTAGAATATCCTCAGTTCATAACGTCGTCTGCTAAAACCCGCGCGAATGCAACAATCAATCAATACTTGCACATTTCGTCGCAACATATGGGCGTACGCTGTTTGAAGTATATCTGCTAAAGTGTGTATTTATCAAATATATTTCTGCATAGTATGAAATCTCAACACATTCACAATCCAACCTTCTATATTGTCGGCGCCACTGCAAAATTTACCATGCGCATTTGCGCAACGTTGTCAAATCTAACATTAGCTCTAAGCTTATTCTTAATAAATTTAGGCATTTCCGAATTTATTTCGATTTTTAATTGTATAAAAGCAGTTTGTCCACATTCAGGTTATTTATTTTGTGATAAATCATTATAACAATGAAGCCGTATGAATATACGTAGATTTGGCAACAACAGTATTCATTTCCCCTCGTATTCTTCAGGAATCACTACTAGAGAAATGGTCATTATGGCAGGAATGGCTGACCACGAAAGGAAGATAGTGATTGAATTTTGCCATCTGTTAGAGAAATCAAAACAGCTTTTCAATGGCCTTAGGTAAACAAAATAGCCATAGTACACAGTAGCAACGTATAATAGTGTGAATTTCTCACCATACTCATTGCAGACTGGACGATGTTCAGTTGTTCATATTCGTGAACGAATTTCTAAAAATAATTATATGTGTCCCTTTATATGTGTTACGTGTATGTTTGTTAATTATAGATTGGTGCATTAAAGCAAGTAGTCGTGATGTTTATTATAATTCAGGTGGAATCTCTCGTCTCCATGTGAAATCGGTCGCTCGCACGAGCTTATTATCAGGCGTGTGATGAAAATGTTACAAAATTTAATTCAGCCCGCAGTTAAGTGCTTGCGTTTGGAATAAAAGGCTGTGATGTGATTGTTTGTTGGAAGACGCCATTATATTTCAATAAAATTGTCGTGTCACCTTCGACAGATTTGTCACATGCCCCTTCCGCTCCCTTGTATTTTGTATTGTTGAACATGTCAGTGTGTAACCGAAATCCAGATGAAAATCACTGTGCATTTTTTGGCGCGTTCCCAATGAAAAGTTAAAAAAAATATGCCAGTTAGCATCGCCATATCGATCCGTTCCTCGTGTAATAACTCGAGAATCGATAAACAAATTTGATATTTGGGACTTTACCAAAAAGTTGTCAATGAATTGCAATTTTTGTTGCAATCTAATAATAGTGACAGTTACTTTGTATGAAGATCTTTATGTGTTTGTGCGCCCATCCCAACCATAACTCTCTAAATATTTATCAAAGCGAAAAGCGCTTTGAACAATTGTAGAAAAAAGTGAAACTCACAATTTATGTTCTGTACACTTTCTCCATAAGTCTTGCATTTTTGAAGACAGATAAAGAACGGAGATTTTTATATTATCTGGAGTCAGTAACAGAATAAATGTTGAAGGGGTTATTATGAGTTGTATACATTTCCTAACCGATTAACATGTACTTTAGTTCTCAGTTTGTTACTGATGTATTATTATTATTATTATTTTATCGTGGTTCTATACTTTGCTCTTCTGCTTTGGAAATTGTTGGCCTTCGGTTCCCTGTTCGATATATCCGAGACTTTCCTATGTTCAATGTCTGTTCTGTTAGTAAAAATTTCCCCTCTGCTAGATGCACTTCTGCTGCTAATGTTATTTGTAGGGACGTTGATGTCTTTGGACCAAAAACTCTGTTGTTGAAACATAGTTTATCCTGAATTAATTAAACTATTATTATTATAATTATTTTTATGAATTCATTATTAATATTATTATTATTGTTGTTGTATACTGCTCTATTTGAGACTCAAATTGTTCTTTGCTATCACATTGTGGCTTTGTCTGTGTGCCTTTGTTTCCGTATCTTTATTCATGCTCACTTTGTAATTAATATAGACTATCATATTTTGTATTCTGTTTTTTAATTATTTTGTGCATGTCTCTCTGTTCGTTCTAACTTTGTATTTGACCTCTGTGCTGTTAAGTTTGCATGTAAATAAACACAAATTGAATTGAACTGAATTATTAGTGGTGGTAGTATGATTAGAAATAGAAATATTGTGTTCATTATTCCATTACTGATACTAACAATGGAAATATAAATATAAATTAATACTCATATAAGGCCCATATTCATTTTCCAGGGACTTGCCTCAGTATGGGCACAAGCAGTGGCAAGCATATTTTGGAAGAACTTTTGATATTTATACAAAACTATGGAAATTTCAACTGCAGCACAGGTAATTGCATTTGTTTTTTTTTTTTAATGCCAATGTCCCTGAAATAAAACTCTTTGGAGCTTAAATTAATTTATTAGCATGCTTGGAACTTGACATTAAGATGTGATGAATTGGATTTTGAATGGATTGTAATTTTCTGTACTCATTACCAGGCAAGTTTTGGATACAAAATATGGACTGAAGAGGTGGCAGATTGGTGAAATTGCATCCAAAATTGGACAGTTGTATTACCATTACTAGTAAGTGCATTAGACTAATTATGTTCGTGATGTAAACCATTTTGACAGGAATGGAAAATTTAATATGTGAACTTTTTTACTCAACTGCTTAGGAAGTAAATATGTTCACCACTATACCACCATCCCACATTATGAACTTATTGGAAAGGAAACTGATGTATTATGTTACAGCCAGTCTAACATTTAGAGAAACTTTTTACAGTTATGTTAATAGCATATAGGAGGATAATGAAAGTTTCCCAGGTACAGTAGAGCCCACAGATCAAACATATGACCAATATGCAAACAGATTCTGAAGTGGGCCTCTGTAATTTGCATGAAGATATTTAAATAATGACTCAAACTTTATAATTTATTACCATTCTTCAAAACCGTGCAGCCTCTGAACTGGTTAACCAGTGAGCCAATTGCAGGATAAAACTCAGTTCTCCTGCCTTGCTATAAGTAACCCAGTAGTTCAGAGCTATTTCTGATTCACAGTCTGCTAAAACAGCAATGGGTACAATACAGTACAGTACTAATACTTGTAGTGATCTACAAATAAAATTATAAATGTCATGTCTAAAGATGTTTGTTTACAATATAAAAATCAGTGGCTTTCTATGGTAAAAATCAGAGACCTTTTAATACTCTTAATACTGAACATTTACAAATAAAAGTTATGCATGAGGCACATATGAAGTAATGTAAGTTGTCAGGCATTCCCATCTTTCAAGAACCTGGGGTTTATACCATGGCTGTATCTCGCCTTCCTGAAGGTTGTAGTGACCAGTGTCTCACTATCTGGACAGTAAATAATGCAAGATGGGGAGAAGGAAAAATAACAGTAATACTCATAAAAGAAATGAGAAGTGGAAAATGTTGTTAGCTATGGAACAGTAATATTTCCAGCTATGCTATAATGTGTGTGTGCATGCATACATATGTGTGTTCTGTGTGCATGCATGTGACCAGTGTTTGTAGACCAGCAAAAATTAAGCCACAGACTGCTGCCATTTCAGAGAATAAGTGCCTTAACAAGTGGGGAACTGAGGACATCCTTGCTGAAATAGCCCCAGGGCAAGAACAGAGACTAGATGTCATTTGTTGAAAATGGTTAACTTGATTTTCTTTAAAGACAGTTCAGTTAGAAAATTAGTTACATTTTACTAAGTATTCGCTTAGCATAGTAAGACACCTGAAGATAGCCATTTAGGGCCGGAACATGTTGTGTCAAAAACGAAAGTGTAAGAAAGAAGGAACAATTTGTTGCATTGTTGATGGACTGTATAGTACAATAAACAGTATTAGATTCACTTCTTGTTTAGGAGAATTGAGTACTCTGTTGTGGGTCACGGGGCAAGGAACATTGCCATATCACCAGTAGGTATTATGTTTGAGACACTAAAATAGAAAGCAAGATATTGGTTTCAGTACATGGCTGAGGAGAATAATTATAAAGACAACATTTACCTAAATGAAACAAATTAAATTCATAGAATTATTATAATTAACATTTTTCTTGAACCGTATATACCACATTAAAATATATTCCTAGGATCTTATAATTTTGCAAGCTTACTGTATCAATTTGTAAATTGTATAGGTTCCATTCACATCTTTCATTGTCAGCCTGTGTATTATCCACATTTTGAACTTTGTTGTGACAAGTATTTGTCTTAGTTGCTTATGTAGCAAATTTCTTCTTCTTTCAGTCTACGTACCAGTGAAACCAACTACCTAAATGAAGCATTTTCGTTCTATGCTGCCATTCGAGGGAGAGCGTATTACTCTAGGGCATCCAAAGAAGATAGGTAAGAAAAGTCGTTGGTAGAAAGTATAACCATAAATTCAGAAAAGAAATCATGATTCCTGCATATCTCTAAATTGTCTCATCTATATGTTGAGGCTAGCAGTAACTAATATCCTGTGTACTGTAAACTCCCAGCCATCTTGCATCCAGACATTTGCAAAAAGCAAACATATCAACAACAAAAAAATGTCAATATTTATAACGTTACTTCAAATGACATGTATATGTTAATCCATCATGTAGTAGTTCTCCCAGCCACCACTAGCAGTGCTGCCCAGTGTCCTTCCTCATGTCAGTGTTGTGATGGTTGTAATGGTGCATGAATCTCATAGATGCTACTTGAATTTGTGATCGCAATAGAGCATAACTAAAATTTTTTCAACCATCAGTTCTCTCTTGACACCTAAAAAAACTTCCATACAAGAACCAAAGAAAAACATGTGATTTTGAAACAGAATGCAGAATGTAAGAGTTTTTCCCATGGAACCAGCAGATTAATGCAACTGGTACACCCCATATGTGCCAGGTAATGGGAAGTTCCCTCCAATAGTTACATTAGCTCTTAACAATTATATTAACTGATTTATATCAGACACTTCATGAAACAAGATCTTTCTTGAGAAATTGGTGCCACTCAGGTGATCAAGAAATTCCCTGCCTTATGTGAAATCTACAAGTTCACTGCCACATTCACAAAAGCCCACTACTTGTTCCTATTAGTCCAGTCCATACTCTGACACTCTATTTTTTATGGATCCATTTTAATAATGTTCACCCATCAATGCACAGGTCTTGCAAGTGGTCTCATTCGTTCAGATTTTCCAGCTAAACTTCTGTGTGCATTTCTCATATTTCCCATATGTTTACATATCGTGCCCTTCTTATCCTCTTTGTTTTTACCATCATAATAATATGCAGTGAAGAATACAGACATTAAACATCCCATTATATAATTTTCATCGTCACCTCCTGTTACTGCTTCTCTGCTAGTTTGGTTTTGGCTGTGAAGAGTTTTGTCTTCTGGGATGTAAGAATGTGTAGTCTGGTGAAAGTCAGCTGATGTTTAGGAGGAACTTATCACCTCCACATGAGGGCCAAAGAGTAAGCAAAGCTTGAAGCAGGCAGCAAGCAGGGCATTGCTATGTCCCTTTGAAACATGGGTTAACTTTCACCAGTTTGCATGACTTTATTTCCCAGAAGATAAAACTTTTTTGATATTATTATAGTTTTGTTTTTTGTTTCATGTTTTTTAGAAAAGAGATAGGAAGATGAAGGATTCTGAGCACAATGTTAGTAAGAACTCTCCAAATTTAATCTGCTCCAAGCTTCTAACAGAGTTTCTGTGTTTTCCTTTATGATATTTGTATTATTGTGCATTAAATTAACAACATCAGCGTAGACCAGATGCTGATATGTCCCATTCAGTTCAGGTCAGTCATTTTTTTTCCTAATGGCATGTTGTGAAGCAGGTTGAAAAGAAAATGATACTAGAGCCTTTCCTTATTTTAGACCATTCTGAATAGGAAATGCCTCAGACAAATGTAAATTAATATTACAGTTTAATAGTGTGTTTCCTCTGTGACAGTTATCAATTGTTACTGCATTGTTGTTAAAATTCCAACCACTTCTAGATGTGTTAATTATCCTCGTTAAGAGAAATTTATAGTATCGAGTGATTGTTCATGTGCATTATGACATTTTAAATGCTATAATAATATTTTTGCTCATTTTCAGGTCAGACCTGATGGTGAAAAAGCTTCGATATTATGCAAGGTTCATCGTTGTCTGCTTGTTGCTGAAGAAGATGAAACTTGTTAAAGATCTAGTTACAGTATGTAGTATTTGTATTTCTGTTATTATCATGCATTGATTTTGTTAGTTGGTTGAGGCACCATGCTACAAGCCGGAAGGTCGTGGGTTCAAGTCCCGATGAGGTCATTGGATTTTTTCAATTGACCTAATCCTTCCGGCCGCACTATGTCCCTGGGGTCGACTCAGCCTCCAACAGAAATGAGTACCAGGAATTAAATAATTTTCCTGGAGAGTAAAGTGCCACCGGCGCATAAGGCTGACAACCTTACTGCCATCTTTGAGCCAATTGTCAAGATAATGTGGGACCCTCAACGTCTCACAACCCTATGGGCCTTCATGGCCTGTTACAGGGATAGGTTTACTTTTTCTATACCTTTGTACACTGACTCATTGACCTTTGTCTCCCAACTAATTTTAAGTATGTATATGTCAATTTGAAAATATAATTCAGATGTCAGGGTGAAGAAAATTTTGGTGTATAAAGCAATGTCTGGGAATCTCTAGGAGATCTGAGGTGGGACCATAAAAACCTCGGTCAATATGGTCAGTGCCTGATTGAGATTTGAATCAGTTTGTTTTGGTATACAAATCTGATGCATTATGGCCAAGCCAAACCACTCTCAGTTTACCCACTGTTATGTAACATGCTTGCCTTTACTGATTATGGATTGCAGGAATTAGATAAACAAATAGTGGATTACACAAGCACATATGAACCTGATGACCAGCTGGAATGGTCACTTGTCCTTGAAGAGATCAAATCCTTCACTAAGGCTGATGAAATAGTCAGTGTACTTCATCCAGACTCCAATAAAATAGTCTTGTCACACAGGTAAGTTCCCTGATCTCCTTATATCAGCATTAAATCCCCTTCCTTATGCTGAACTAATTAAACACTACACCATGAAGGCCTTTGGGGAAGTGGATGTATAGATCCATATTCTCTTGACCTCGGCACTAGTTGGAGGTGAGTGGTCAACTTCACACCCCAGCCACTTTACCCCCAGGGAAAGAACCCCCAGTATCCATTGGATTGGAGGTTGGGTGGACCCCAGAGCTGGTCTGGACAATTTGGAGAAGAGAAAATCTTGACTCTATCGGGACTCGAATTCCAAGCCCTCGTTCGTCCAGCTATACAGATTACTCTATCCCAGCTTCTTTTAAATCCCCTTTCCTGGGTTAACTATTGACGTCACTGAAGCCTCTGCAAACAAATGAGATACATAAAACACTCATGTAAGTTTACAAAATTTATTGTGACAATGTGGAGAAGAGAAAATGCTTGACCCTACCGAGACTCGAACTCTGACCTCTTGGTCATCCATCCCATAGGTAGTTGTTGTACTGACTATGCTATCCTGGCCCCTCGATATCATAGGATATGAGGATATAATATATGATAAGTAGGTAAGGATTTTGAAGGAGGCAGTTTTCTCTTACAATGTAATATCTCAGCATTTACCTAGAGAGGCTTAGGAAAACTGTAAGAAACTTTAATCAGACTATTGGGGTGGTCAGTAAGCTGGATGAGATTTTAATGGAATATCTCTCAAATGTAAATGTAAATTGTTAGAGATACTCCAACTTGCAGAGTACTCTGGGATACAGGTATACTATGTATCATTTTGGCAACATTGACCCTTCATATACTGTTACACGGCAGTACTACCATTGTGAACTATAACCAGGATTTTAGATCTGAGAGAGATACATGCTAGAAAGACAGTTGGATGTGAAAAGTGTGTGAAGTCCACGAACAGTGAATTCAAGTTATCCGTGATGCCTGGTACAGAAAAATGTCTTATATGTGTATAAAGTGTAGTAAGTCAGACTTTGGTTAATGTAGTTGTTATTGTATTGTATGTTGAATTGACATTTGGCAGATTTGGGGTGTGCAGAATGTGTTGTCATGCATTTAATGACTTAATATACTGCCTACATTTTCAGGGTTGAATAGAAAGCCAAGCAAGCAACAGGCATTCAGCTTGCTTGGTGTACTCAATTCCTAACAACAAAATTACCATTTAACCATGCAACCAACCACTGAAATTTTATTGCACTAAACGAAATTTCAATTTGCCCACTTGAAGAACAACTAAACTTAACTGTGGTCAGCAAAAAATTAAATGATATGATGCATATATGTCTGGTTAATTTTAAAGCAGTGAAACGTAAGTAATGGAAATAATTGCATATGTGACACTTATTTACAGGCTCAGTCCATTGACAACCCCACCAGTAGAAAGATCTCCTATGATGAACCTGACATTACAGGAAATATTGATAGTAGGCAACTGCAATGATCAGGTAATATTTTAAATGGGCATCATATACCACTGATGTGTTCACAAGTCTTATAGTTACAATAATTAAAGTTTGTAGCAACTTTTAGGCAAAACACAAATCTTTTATCAGAGCTGATTCTTCTTAACATATCCTTTCCAGTGGATTCTGTAGAGATATATAAAATCTGTTCTTCATTAAATATGTAACTGTCATATTGAATGGATGAATGAATAAATGAATGAATAGAGGGTAGGCCTTAACTGGTCCTTGTACCATAACCATCAGTGTGAAATTTATTAATTAATTTTGTAGTTCGAAAGGTATAAACCTGCTCTCTGTCATGAAATTGATTTCACCTTATCTGTGGAGTCCTTATAATAATGTTGCTTGTTGCATTCTTAATACTGAGGACATTGATGTAATTGTTGGTTCTTCTACCCAAACAGGTAAAGTTCAGTGAGTTGACAATGGACATGTTCAGAATGCTCCAGACTCTTGAAAGAGAGCCACAGGATGACTTCAACCACATCTATGATGCTTCACCTGCACCAGGTCGAGTGCCTTTGGTGAGTCCTGTCAAGTATTGTTTCACCAGTAGTGGCCAGATAGAAAGGTCTAAATCTGTCTGAAATTCAAATTCAGATCTGTATCATAACAAACCCCTGTTTTATCTCTGACACTTTTAGCCTTCTCAGTGCTTTGTTAATAACTGCTGTGATGGTCCCAAAGTGCTGAATTATTTTGATCATTTATTTCATGTTTGCCACTTGAGGAAGTACTTATATATTTAGACACTATCACAGCCAGCTGATATATGAATCTGTTTCATCAGGAGATTCAAAAGTATCTTCTAGAAGAAGTTGCTTGTGTTTCATGGATGCTAGCAAACACATAAGTGAAAACAAATGTATTGTCGCGTATTGGGCGTATATCGCGACAAATAACTTCACGCCGTATTTTATATAGCGAATTTTATTTCACATTCGCACTTACAATCACCCAAATTACAGATTTACGACTACTGCTATCTTGAGTATCACAAATAGTACACTCCAAATGCCAGAATACAACTGACTGGTTGCTGGCTAACTCGGAACTAACTCGGAGGTAGCTCGAGGACTAACTGTGAATAGCCTTCACTGCTCCTCATGTAGCCTCGATCGGACAATACAGAAAACGGCCACGTAATAAGCACCCTTGTTGCCTGGCGCTGTGTTGCTAGTAACGCTAGCAGTAGTAACCGCTGTTACTACTGTCGTCTCTCGCAATCCTGTTTACCCGCGCTGCCCTTGGTGACATCATCGCTGTAGTTGTCGCGTTGCATAGCGACCAGGATGCTAGGACTCGGCTAACTTCGGCTTCGCTCAGCGCATCACGGCTGGTGGGGGGGGGAGGGGCGTCATCCATAGCTCAACATGTCACAGTATATATGATAAATTGCTACTTCTTTAATGCACTGTGACAAAAATATGATAAAACACACAGTTCAGTCTGTTCCAAATAGATGCAGACATTTATGGATATATTTAAAAAAGTATAAAATAGATTCCACACATTAAGACCTCAGAGTCGGAATCAAGTTTGTTTATCACAGTAAGGAAGAGTCATTTGGACCAAGTGCAGTATATGCATATGAAGTCATGTGCAAAGACACACAAGATGGAAACTGTAGCAGATGCAGCACCTATGCTTCTAATGTATTTCACTAATTTGTTTTACTGAAGTAGTTATTCTGTGGAATGGCAGTGGTGCACAACTGTGGGCTGAGAAATGCTGGGTGAAACACTAAATAACCCCTTTGTCTAAGGAGCTTACTTGAAAGTATGTAGGGCACACTAATATGAAGTTTCACGTTCCTCCGAAATGTCAGTTCACATAAGATCTACATGGTGCCACATCCCAGAAGATGGCATTCTTCATTCTTAATCTTGTTCCTAGAGTGACATGGGTGATCAGCACAATGGTTGGGTTGAAAATTAATTAAGAAACCTATATTTTATAATGTACTTTCATCACCAAATTTGTAAGTCAGTAAGTAAATTACAAATGGATACGGAACTTAAACAAATAAGAGTACTGATTTGAAAAATGCTTTTTTTCTCAACACAATCTCGCTGTACATTAAGGCACTTGTCCTATCATTTCACAAGCCCCTGAAAACCATCAGCATAATAGTCTTTGAGCTGCCGTCGGAACCAGGTGGTGACCGGGATCACAAAAGCATACTGCTCACCGCATTCTAGCCTCAAGGACAAACCGTAAATGCCGACTCCTACTGTAACATCCTCAGGAAACTTCGTAAACCCATTCAACGGAAGAGACCAGGACTCTTCACCAAAGGCGTGTTGCTCTTGCATGACAATGCGCCTCTCCATGCTGCCAACAAGACAAATGAGACACTGCAAAATTTCAAGTGGGAAGTCCTCATGCATCCTCCATATAGTCTCGACCTTGCTCCAAGCAACTTCCATTTTTTTTGGCCCCCCTTAAACATCATCTTTCAGCTGAACATTTTCCTGATAATGAAGCTGTAGGTAGAGAAGTCACCGTCTGGTTCCAACAGCAGCCCAAAAAATTTTATGCTGCTGGTTTTCAGGGGCTTGTGAAACGATGGGACAAGTGCCTCAATGTACAGGGAGATTATGTTGAGAAATAAAAGCATTTTTCAAATCAGTACTCTTATCTGTTTTAATTCTATATCCATTTGTAACTTACTATTGACTTACCCTCATATATTTCTCTTTCAGTGTAACCCCAGACATATCATGAGGGGAAAAACAGTTGAAAAATAAACCCCTAAACACAACTATGAGTAAACATTTTACTAAAATTGTCTATTTATCCTTTGAATACAGCAGGAGGGTCCTAGAGATTGGATTTAAACCCTGGCCATAATATGTGTTGCCCATTACTTTACTGATGACTCAGGTTACAATTATTGGGATTGCCACTGCTGCACTGTGCATAGATATGCTGAATGGTTCAGAAGATTTTGTTTTAATGCTACTGGAGTGCTGTCCGGCCAGGCGTTGACTCCTGGTTGTTTGCAGGATAAGGGTTATTCCTTACCAGGAGGAGCTAAGGGAATGTACCCACTTGTGTCATCATGTCAGGAGAATGGAGATCGTCCCATCAAGAGGGAGAACCCACACAAGTACATGCTTTACAAACCAACTTTCAGTCAAATAATGGTGTTCTTAGCATCAGGTGAGTGATCCTCTTTTCGCACATCTGAACTGCCTCCTTCATCAACACGTTTTTGTTCCCCCAGTACAAGGTGCTGTTGGAAAGTTCTAGATCAAAAATGAAATGCTGGCTTAACTTACTCAATTTTGGCTACCTTCTCCCTCAAAATAGTCCCTTTGCGAATGTATACAGCAATCCCATCGTTTTTTCCTCGCTTCGAAAGCACCGTGGAAGTCATTTTCCTTAATGCCGGCAAGTACCACTTGCGATTCCCTTTGGATGTCAGACGCTGTTTCAAAACGTCCCTTCAGTTTCATTTGGGAAACAAAGCGAAATAACAGGGGATTAAGTCTGGCGAGTAGGGAGGATGGGGAAACATAACCATGTCATTGTTAGCCACAAACTCTGTGGTTGCGCCAAAGTTCCAGTCTTTTTTGTTGCATGTTTTCTGTCAAGTGTCAAAAAATGTCACAGTGAAAGTCAGAGTTGACCGAAGTGTTAGGGGGAAAAAATTCACGGTGAACAATTGCTTTCACATAAAAAAAACAATGAACATGCTCTAACTTTGGATGTGCTGCGCCTTTTTTGCTCTTGGTGATTATGGGTTCTTCCACTGCAATGATTGTTGCTTTGTTTCTGGATCATGACTGTAAATCCAACTTTCATCACTCATTATGATCCTAGATATAAATAGTTGGGTCCTCATTAGCCTTCTCTTGTAGCTCAAGACACGCTTACTCGCTGCTGCTTTTGATCATTTTTTTAGGGTCAGGAAACAAACTACGCGGCAATGCGGGGCATGTTCAGATTTTCTGTTATGATCTCTCGGCAAACTCCATAACTGATCCCAATGGTGTCTGTGAACTCATGAATTGTTCAGTGACAGTCTTCATGGATGAGTTCTCAAATATATTCAATAGTTTCTTCATTTTGTTGGTGCTTGGTCGCCCTGAATGTTCATCTTCTTCAACTGACACTCGACCGCCCTTGAAACGTGAGTGCCATTCAGAAACCAGTGTCTGACTTAAAGAATGTTCTCCAAAAGACTCACGAAGCATTTCATGGGTTTTGGTAGCAAATTTACCAATCTTCACACAAAGTAATAATAATAATAATAATAATAATAATTAATAATAATAATGAAAGAAAAACTTGATGCAGACACATTACTCAATTTTGACATCCATTGCAGACAAAATGAAACACGAAGTCAAAAAAGCACTTGTGTAGAAAACAGTGTGTGTTCACAGCACAGTGTCACATGGCAGACTGATGTAGTAGTCTTGCAGAAGTGTGACTTTGACCTCCCCTCTGATAATCTTTCGCTGAGGCAGTTACAACAGTAACAGTTTGGAAACTTTCCAGTAGCACCTAGATATATTGTGACATGTCTGCATTGTCCATTGCGGGGTAATGGCTTCATAAACACGTTTCTGTGGCAGCAGGTATGAATGCAACAATGGACAGCATTGTTAGATGCAGTGTTTTCTATGCAGTCTGTGCCAGGGTTATATACAGATAACCCTTGGGTGAGACAGAGAAGTTGAAGTGGAGAATAGACAGAGTTGGAGCAATGAGTGAGTTGTGGGACAGTTGCAATGGAAAGTCAGTCATGAGTTGAATGTTCATAGTTGGAGTTAGTTGTGAGACAGTTGCCAGCCAATAAGGGCATTGTTGGGATTTGTTACCAGACAATGGCTAGCAAAAACATAGAAGACTTAGCTTGTAGTGAATTGTGAAGTGTGTAGATTAGTGAGTGAGCTGTAGCCTAGCCTTGGCTATTGAAAACAAGCTGAAAAGTCTTAGTGTGTGCTGTACAGAGAAGTCAAGTGCATGAATTAGCAATAGCATTATAATTACTTGTATTTATATCTGTCCTTCTCTTACTACATGTATGCCTCACAAGTGGTCTCTTCCATTAAGGTCTTCTGACTGATATTTTATATGCATATCTGATATCCACCAGGTGTGCTACATGTCTCATTTATCCAGTTTTCTATATGATTGCCCTGCTGACATTTCATGGAAACTACATACAAAGTATGAATCTTTTCATTATGTGGTTTTCTCCATTCTCTTACTTCCCCACTCTTTGGTCCAAATATTATTCTCAGTGCTTTGTTTGGAAAACCCCTCAATCTCTGGGGAGGATCCCCTTCCTCCTCTTGGGATGAGAGGTCAAGTTTCATTCTTATGTACACAAAACAACAGATGAAAGTATACTGTTGTATATTTTAATCGTTGAAAGTTTGGAATACCTTCAGAAATGCTAGTAGAACATGCAGTTATAGCATACAGCTCTTATGCAAACAATATCCCACTGTAGAGATTAGCCAGCACATTGTTGGTCACACTCTGAACATTGCTTAATTTCATATTTATATTGCAATATAAAGTAAATAATATCATAGATTAGCTGTTGTGAAAAAAACAAGGCAAATTTTGCTCTGATTTAGAGACTGCTATTCAAATATGAGTAAATTGGATTTTTCTTGCATTCTTCTGTATCTGTATTTCTCTTCCATGCTGTCTGAAGAAGTAACATGCCTACTGTTACATTTATATATTGTTGCAGGGTTTAAGGAGATGCCTCCCAGTGGGGCATTAATGATGTACATTTCAGCGGATGGGTGTTTCTCGAGCATGAAGCACTGTGAAGACAGTAAGTGAATCAGTTTTTTTTTCTTCATTTTAGCTAGAAATAAGTTTGTCTTAATTAAGAGAATTTTGAGTGCAATGATTGTGTGTTGAACAGTGGGGTATGACCTGGGTGGTGTTCTGACAAGCAGTAAAAAGGAATTAGACCATCCAAACAAGAAGGCAATCCAGCTGAAGGAAATGCATTGGTAAGCAGAAAATGTGGTCAATATTTGTGAGGGTAACTGACTGTAAAGTTGCAGTGAAATGTACAGTTTTGGTCTTGTTGCAGTTTGTATCCTGGAGATCTGTACCCTTTCACGCGGAAGCCATTTTTCATTATAGTGGATTCAGACAACAGTTTTGTATTTCAGCACATTCCTCACTATTTTGGACAGCCCTTGGTGATTCTCATGTCTCCTCAGGATGTCCCTTCAGCTTTCCAAGGTAGACCCAACACTCTAGTGCTGTTGTATATGTCATGATGATGATCAGTTAGCTTTACGAGTATTGCTTCACTGGCTCATTATACAGGATCTCTCTTGAGCAGCAAGTCAGCTGGTGTATAACCAGAATAGTATCTCTTATTTACCAAGAAGTTCTGCAAATAACTTGTAGTACTTTCCTTTGAATGTTCAGTCTCATATGATAAGAATAGCAGAAACTGAAAATTATTAAACATGTAATTTAATGATGTGGTTCTGTGAATAACCTGTATTTGTATGAACTTATACAATGTTAAATACGTCAGAAATTTTCTCGCAGTTTCATCATCACCATGTTTGGAACTGTGATGGTAGCACTTCAAACTAATTGCTTATCAGAATGTTCAAAAACTACATCCACATGTTGACATCAGGTATAAGCTTTCTACAACTTATCTCCAAACAAAATTTCAATTGCCTTGCTCCAGTGGTTCTCCACATAGTCACATGTTGTTTTACATTGTACGAAAATAAATTGTATACTAGTATCACATCTATATCACAAGTTCACATGGCCACAAGTTAGTGTTATTGTTGACAGAAAAATTAGAAAGCCGAAAGGTTGAAAGATCAGACAAAGTTTCATGACTATCCATGAGATTATTTAAAAGGTATTTGGGAAGGCACACTTGGATGGACAGATACAGCTAATGATCCTGTAAGCCAGTCTTTTGTTATACAGGGTGATTCACGAAGTTTTACCCTGGCTTATGGTACATATTCCTGGGTTATTTTCTGCAAAATATCCTTATAAACTTGTGGTCGATTTTCAGTAGTTATGGAGTAAGCATAGATTTTCGAAATGCATCATTGTGAATGCAGCACTATGCTTCCAGCCTGGGGAACCATGCGTTCCAGTCAGCCGTGTCAGCAGATAAGGCAGACTGGCTGGAATGTTGCGCATAGGTAGGGAGAGCGATCCAGTAGTAAACAGGACGTTGTGTTGGTGACTTTGTGAAGCTAAGATGACGTACACATTTTCCACTGAGGAATACGCTGATATGATGTTTGTTTTGGGTGTATGTGATGGAAATGCGAGAGCCGCTGCTGCCAAATATGACCGGCGTTATCCTAATCGCAGGATTCCGAATCCTAAATCCATTAGCAGTAAATTCAACACATTAAGACAAACTGGTTCTTTCCCCAGCGTTCATATACAATACGAATGAAATCCTCAACATGAATTGTGTGAAGAAGAAAACATTCTCGATGCTGTAGAGCACCGTCCGCGTGCCAGTACAAGACGTCTGGCTTGGCGGTTCGGTGTTTCTCAGTCCATGGCGTGGAGGACTCTTCATGAGATCGGGCTGCATCCTTATCATTTACAGCAAGTACAACACCTACAACCAGGAGACCGTGCTCTTCGTCTGCAGTTCTGCAACTGGTTAAATGGAAATCGGCAGTTGTACCACTTGATAATGTTCTGCAATGAGGAACAATTTACACGGGACTGGGTCAACAACAGTCACAACTTCCATGTTTGGGCAGACAGTAATCCCCATGCCACAATAGAATCGAATTTTCAACACCGATTCAGTGTCAATGTCTGGTGTGGTGTTCTGTATGACCAGCGAATCGGGCCATTCTTTTTTCCTGGCCGCTTAACTGGTGAGATTTACCTCCACTTCTTAGAAGAAGAATTACCACAGTTACTTGAAGATGTTCCTCTGGCAACAAGGTACCGGATGCACTTTCAGCATGATGGGGCGCCTCCTCACTTCTCCCGCGCAGTAGCAGCTAACTTGGATCAGCATTTCCCACAGCAGTGGATTGGTCGCAGAGGCCATAACGCCTGGCATCCCAGGTCGCCAGATCTAACACAGACTATCGTATTTGGGGCTGGATGAAGGACATTGTGTACCAGGTAAAGGTACAAACACATGAAGCGTTGCTTTAATGTATTCTGGACGCGACAATGACAATAAGGAACAATCGTGTGGAACTGTGAAATGCTACGAGCGGGGTTCATACGTGTGCAACACGTGTTGACGTGCATTTTTGAAAATCTTATGTAAATTGGGTCATCTTCTAAAGCACTATAGTTTAAAGGAAACAAATTGATAGAAGGGTATGATATGCAACCATTGGTATGTTTACAGAATGGGATGCTGAAAATAATGTAATTTTGTAACATAAAATTGATTAAAATGTTGCACAATGCAAAATTAAGAAATTGAAAAAAAAATTGGTTTTAGAATGCTTCTTTCCTAAAACATTAATGATTTAAAAAGTGTTTGTATTGTATTTCTAATTTGTTTTGACTGAAATTCGAAGAAAAACGGATTTTTCGCCAGTTTTCAAATTTCTGTATCTCATTAATTATGAGTTGGATACCATTAGTATATTAAATTTTTTTGTTCCAGATTGCCTCAGGAATGCCCTCCCTAAGGGGGGGAAAACATGGTGAATCACCCTGTAGAATAAGGAGGGGACAGTAACAGTTCCCGTGATAAGGGCCATTTAGTAACAAGTGCATCTGACATTGGTCTTATGCAGTATCAGTATCTGTTTCAGATCAGCAGCACAATGGTAGTCTGTTCACACTGTTCCTGCACAGCCCCCTCACAGCATTCTGCTTCATCTGCAATCTTCACAATATTCCCTACCACTTATGGGAGCGATGTCAGTCCTTTATTGACAGATTTGTTACAGAGGCCAGCAGACTATTCACACGGTGCCGGATAGGTGAGTCCAGTGGATGCATTGTTTTTGCAATATGTGGAGTTTATCACCAGTATCAGGGTTTGAAATGTATGGTCACCCTCTCACCTGAGGTGAGCTGATATTACATGCTAACTGGCAGAAATTCACTCTAAAACTGACTGACTGAAAAAAATAAAGACCGAATCATGTAACAAAGAGAAGAAATGTATGCTGTATTTGGCATAGTTGGTTGAGGCACCATGCTACAAGACAGAAGGTTGCAGGTTTGTTTCCTGATGAGGTCATTGGATTTTTCAATTGACCTATCCTTCCAGCTACATTATGACCTGGGGTCGACTCAGCCTCTACCAGAAATAAATACCAGGAATCATCCTGGGGGTAAAGGGGGGACAGTGTGTAAGGCTGACAACCTTACTGCCATCTGTGAGCTGACTGTCTAGAAAATGTGGGAGCCTTGACATCCCACAACCCTATGGGCCGCCACAGCCTGTTACAGGGATATCTTTACGTTTTACATTTTATAAATTCTTTTAGGTTTTAGTTCATGAAATTCAGTGGAGAACCAAAAGTCCTATAAATCTTCACATCTAATGAAATAAAGTACACGGGTGCAGAGAAGGAAAGAAAAATTAATTGCTGTGGCTATGTTTAACTGTGTTGGAAGTTGAAACCTGGCATTTTGAGAGCCACAGTTTATATAGAACGGATAATATCTGCAAGAAATTGTATAGGCAAAATATATATTCCATTCCTTCATGTAAGATGAGACCTGCTACTTCAAGATGACAATGACATTAAAGAACCCTGTGTGAAAACACTGTTGTTTTTTCATTGTGTTTGTATCTTGAAATCTGCTATGTACCTGGAAAGCCTGCATATTCTACTGTTATTTATTGTTGCTAGTGGGGGTGGGACTGACAAGTCCCTTGTACTGCGGCCACTTCTGGCCTATTGTACCAGCCCCAGATGATAGGTGAGGGTGATTTTGGAGCAATTGGTGGAATGCAGATTGGCAGGGGAAACTGAAGTACTCAGAGAAAACCTGCCCAAGTGCCACTTTGTCCACCACAGATCCCACTTGACCAGACCCAGGATCGAACCCGGGCCACTGCAGTGGGAAGCCAGCGACTAACCACTTGAGCTATGGCGCGGCCCCTGCATATTCCACTATGTGTTGCAATATTGTTGCCAGCATCCAAATGTTGAAGAGGCTGTAATTAGTTTACTATAAATGTCCTGGGACCAAAAAGCGAAATGGACTGACATTATGGACTGGTGTTGCAGATACGTCGTATCTTCAGTTTTTCGGAGATGACTTCCTGAGGCTTCTTCTCTTGCGATATGTGTTCTGTGATGTGGTTCTCCACCTCCATCGATCCTTTAAGGTAAGCCATACATTGTCACAAACAACAATGTAGATATTTGCTTTCAGTGTAATAATAAATTTGCAGTGGTTCTTAACATTTGTAAGCTAACCTCTTATTTGCTTACATCTTCATGAATTTGTAAAATTTTCATAGGTGTCATTCAAAGCACAATAGATCATTGAAGGTCGCAGTGTGGGGGCCTGTTTTTGTGGCCCACCCCTTTCATACATAGGTGTCATTCAAATGCACTAAACCTCTTGTAGACAAAAGAAAGAGCTCTGCATTTAGAATCTTTGTTTATATTTGTCCATTGTTTCTTTTTTGATTAAATACTTACATGGTCGAGTCTCTTTAACATGTCTGGGTATTTGTTTTCCCACAAATGAGACATCACATGCTTTTACAGATGATTGTATCTGAAAATTAGGATGCAGATACTGGAAAATTATGGTAAAGAGGGAAATTATATATATAAATATTCTGTACTCCATGATCCTCAATTTTCTGTTATATAAGCTTGTTCAGAAAAACTGAAATCATGAAAATCATCGAAGTGCATTAAAGAAATGTATTTTTTTTCACTGGAAAAGTTTTTGCTGTTACATGGTAACAGGGTCACCAGTTCCGCCCAAGATGCCAGCCCCCACTCCCTGATGGGGACCTGCTGGTCCACCCAGCCCTGCAACGTATGGTGCTGGATCTGGCATCACACCTTGAAGTACGTGGTCACTTCATGGAGACCAATGAGGTGGACTGATCGCCGGCTGCTGGCAGTCGTTCAGCTGCTACCATTTGGAACAGTATCATGTCTCTCACGGAGCCGAGCTCTGTTGATAGCCATGTAAGTGATGATAATATTATTTTCTCTAATGTCACATTATCAGGGAGTTATGAATTTCCTTCAGAGGTGATAGTTTTCTTTTTACAATACTGTGGCACTTTCAAAATACAAATGAAGACAAATTCTGGAGATTTTGAATCTCATGACACTAGGAATATCCATCACAGCAGTGCTTTGAATACATCAGCCTCAAGCCTCAACAGTTCTGAATCCCAAAGGACAGTTGGTATCACTGAGATGCTATCCAGCTATTTCGGATACTGTGATTCTTTCATGTTGAGGATCAGCCAACTGACTTGTACCATTCTTGTGCCGAAACTTCTTGGAGCAGCTCAACTCCTGCTGAATCAAGATGACCACCGTCACCGCCACCGAGAAGTGTGTCAGTTCCTAGTCAGTTAACGTTACCAGACATAGAAGATGCTGGAGTCCATTTCAGCATATTCTCCCTCGATACATGAGCATAAGTTACTTTGTCCTTAATATTCTGAAGTATACATGGATCAGCATTAAGCAATTGTAATATGTTACTGGTTCTGCAGAGCAGCACAGATAGTTCCTCTCTTGTTTCTAAAAATGGCATTTGAAACAAAAGAAGGACAATTAAATCCATCAGGGGTAATGCATAAAGATATTCTTTGCAGGATATCACAGTGTGAATGTAAGAAAAAGGTTTGATATCATAAGGTAGTTCAAAAAATGCCTGAATTGATCGTTTTATAGCTTTAAATATTACATTGTAATCTAAGATTAATTCTGATGGAGAAATGTGTAAGATGGCATTTGCTTTACATGCTGCATGGGGAAGGCTTAGGTGCAATGTGACCGGCATTGTTAAGTAGAAGTTTTGCTAAATGCTTTGCATAGACAACAGCTTTAAACATACTAATTGTTAAGTTATGGATTCCAAAAACCACTGCCAACTCAAGAGGGGCGGGATTGTTCATAGGCTGTGAGGCAAATGGGCCCATGAAAAAATATATATTGCCAACACGAACACCAGCTTGGAATTGGTAAGATGCAAGAAGACAGAATACCTGTCATAGCAATTCATTCTAGGGGCAAAATAAAAGGAAACAGTATTCTTGATTTTTTTTGGGAACAAATTTGTGACCCTGTGTGTGATTTTTTGTGATACTCATCTTCCATGTTAGACTGTTTCATTTCCTTGGTCAGCCCAATATGAGCAGTCCAGACCATGTCATCTCTGTCATTGCACTTCAGGGAAAAGAGAACAAACCATCAATACATGTACATAAGAGTAGGTGAATCTGTATATATTTAGTCTCAACTTCATATGGCAGTATGAATCTTTGCTTCATAAAATGTTACAAGATGAATGATCAACATTTTCACAATCATATCAACACTACACTATATACTCTTATATGTATGAACCACACTCACCATTACAATGTACAGTACTGTTACATTTCAGTACCTTAGTTTCACCTTGTGATATGAAGCTGTGGTAGCACTTGACAGCAGCACCAATATATGTGCTGATTTATTTTTATGCTTGTCTTTTTAATGTTTAATTTTTATAAAAACCATAATTTAGTGCTGTATTACTGATCAGTATTATTCTAGTCATCATATAACGTGATAACAATAATCTCTTTGTTAAACTAGTCATGTTATGTTTACACAATTCTTAGAGTGGTAGGAGAGATGGGATGGGACATATTTCGATCTCATCACTTTCTGAAATGCACAGGCCATTTAAAAATTAATGGCAACACTAATGTAAAATTAAAAATAAATTATTCTTAGTATCACTAATTTCCTGGACTTCTCCCATCATCTGATATTCTAAAAACAGGAATGCAAGATTTCAGGTGCTGGATTTGCTCTCGTCAGATGCAGGTTACATGCTCAATTGGGTCAATTTGGAACCATTGATCCCAGTCACTGGACCTGGCTAGTAATATTAAGTATAATATCCCATTGTCAAGAACCCTTTAGAAAAAAAACTGTCAGAAGCTGACACTTTACAAGCCTTCAGTAAAGGGAAGCCATCTGATGTTAACAGCAGTGTCCCTTACTATATTTCTGATTGCCCACACTACTGTATAACCTCTTCCCTTGTCTTCTGCCTGATGCCTCATAGGGGTTTCATTTTCCAGAACTGTTCATGATTGTATGTTCCAGCATGTTCCAGTGCCTCCCATTTCCACTGTTTGCACAGATCTGCCACATCCTAGCCACATAACTCTGAAAGTGTTTTTGTGCAGCACAATAGGACCTGAGTGTTGACTCAGTGCAAGATGCAAATCGTGCTCCAGGAAGCTTTAGTAATGTGACCTTCATTTTGCCTGACTGCTGTTGAAATTTCTCTTGTATGATGCTCCTTGGTGATGCCATATTCTTGACAAAGTGGATAATTTTCGGTCCAGTGTGACATACAAGTTTACAACACTTCAGTCTTTATTCACCCTACATGTTAAGATTCAAAAGAATCGTCCTCAGAGGCACACCACTACGATCAGGAAACACTGTCACATAAGATGTTTTAACAATATGAACTTAAGCTATGAATAATGCTCACTATATAAATTTTTGTTATTATCACAGTTAGTTTTGATGTTTGCCTTAAGCATTCGCGATGACACTTCTTGAAGTGTAGATTTACGTATAATCCTGCTTCTTTTAAGCGTATTTGCTGGGTATTCTGGTTGGGATTTCCCTCTGCATGTGATATGATGTTCACTTTTCCATATGGTAGCCTCCCAATGTATTTAAAATTGTATTAAAATTTCTTTTGTATGTAAAATTTAGTTATTATGTTAAAATATCGTGAGCCAACATTGGGTCATGTTGTTTTCCTCCTGATGGTGGGAGATGTCGTTTATTTCTCTTGATTGTATGTTCTTATTGTTAGTTGGGTAGTTTACATGTATGTTGTGTTGTTTGTACTGTTTTGAAGAGTGCACTCTTCAAAACTACACGACTAACAGTAAGAACATACAATCAAGAGAAATAAACGACATCTCCCACCATCAGGAGAAAACAGCATGACCCAATGTTGGCTCATGATATTTTAATATAATAACTAATTTTTTACATGCAAAAGAAAATCTTAATACAATTTTAAATACATAGGGAAGAACGGTGAAATTGTGTGCACTGTAAGACTGTTGATACAAGAGCAATACAACGCACGCAGTCACACGGGAAGGACACAACATACACAAGAATATAGGAAGAACACTCCCATAGGAGAGGGTTGACATAAAGTTGAAAAGTTTTAATATATAAACTTTATTATTATACATGACACACATACATTTTAATCATTTTATAAGGGAAACATGATGGCATACAGTGCAGTGGTTTGATGTAAATAAAACCACACCTAAAGATGGCACATTAGTGCCGAAATATATAGAGAAGAGAAAGGTGAAATTGTGTGCACTGTAAGACGGTTGATACAAATACACATCATGGACATACGGAAGCTATTGTATGGAAAAGTGAACATCATATTGCGTGCAGTGGGAAATCCCAATCAGAATACCCAGCAAATACACTTAAAAGAAACAGCATCATACGTAAATCTACACTTCAAGAAGCGTCATCGTGAATGCTTAAGGCAAACATCAAAACTAACTGTGATAATAACAAAAATTTATATGGTGAGCATTATTCATAGCTTAAGTGCATATTGTTAAAACATCTTATGTGACAGTGTTTCCTGCTTGTAGTGGTGTACCTCTGAGGATGATTCTTTTGAATCGAAACATGTAAGGTGAAAAAGACTGAAGTGTGGACTGAAAATTATCCACTTTGTAATTAATAGTGTGACAGACCAGAATGAGACAAACCATATTCTTGATTCTCTCTTCAATTCTGGTTGATACATATTTCATCCATCGTTACAGTCTAACGAAGAAAAGCTCCATCTTTTCATGCATAATCATCCAAAAACAGTGTTGCAGATTTCAGACATTGTCACATCTGAAACTCTGGCAGATTGTGCACACATTTTCTGAATTTTCAGCTTTTCATTAATATTGCATACATTGTACATGATGCATATCAACCTCACGTAGAGGTGTAATGTGTGTCTATTATTGGCCTATAGCCAACAAAGCCTGTACAGTCACAACATATCTTTCATCCATTACTGTGACCACCCAGCTGGCTTGTGGTTTGTGTCCATTTCCTCTTCCACTTTGAAAACCCATCTTGCCATTGTGTGGTATGGTATGACAGCTTCTTGTCCACAGGATTATTGCAATCCTCTGTGATACTGACTTGCATTTCCCTCTTATGCAACTTGGATTATGATGAAGGAAAGTTCTTTGTGTTTAATCAACATTTTTATGACAGTTTTGCAGATCACCTAGTGCTTCATACCACTGTACAACACTTGAAACAGATCATGTACTAGCAAAATCAGATTGACACATGCAATATGATTCAGTCTCTCGCATAAAAAGCTGTTGCCAGCAGATGTCAACATGGAGTGCTGTATCATTGCAGTATTGCCAGTAATTTTTGAATGGTCTGTAATATTTACTGGTATGTGCTGCTTCAATATTGTAACTTTGTAGAATATTTTATATTTAGTCATACCTTAATTTTTGTGTAATTATTGATAACTTTTAAAATATATATTTGAGAGTTCTTATTTTAATATCCACCGAAAAATAATTTAAAAATAATTTTAGAAGGGCGAGGAACAAAAACATAACATTAGATACATAGTGTGAGTTTGAAGATGGAAACACTAAAAATTCAAAATAACTCAACATTGTGCTTTCAGTCAGAATGGACAATGTGATTTTTTAAAACCGCATTAGAGAACAACACCAGTGCATGCCTGAGTTTATTGATTATGGCTGTAAATGATTTTGGTTTTGATCATTTTAGACATCACAAAGAAATCTAACTTTTCATTAATGCATAAAATTATTTTTCACATAATGAATGCAAGAATTGGGTAGATTTTGTTAATTTTATTACTGTTAGTGAAATAATTAGATATCTTATTTGAATGTGTCTCCAATCACAGAACTGGTATTAACTTTGTTTACAACAACAAAAAAATGTACAAAGCATTAACTATTGTGCAGAAAACATAGCTTATTACTCACAGAAGTTAAAAGAAAATGAGATATTAAATTAATATCACAATACAATAAACTAAACTGTGACATTATTGTTACCATTGCTTGCCTGTATTCTTTCTGTGTTTTTAGGATTTCTCTTATATCTTTTCCACAACCATATTCTCCATGGTTCTTGTCAGTCCCTCCAACAGAGTCTTATATTACACCACAACTAACACTGCAGTGCCAGAAGCAGGGTATCAGCAGTACTAATACCAGTGTCTTCCACTGGACATCGTTCCCAGTCAGTTTCATCTGTCTCCCATCCTCACAACCTATCTCCCTAAGATCCATCTCAATCTCTCAAGTGCACACTTTTGAAAAGGTTTCCTCACCAAAATTCTCTGTATGTTCCTTGTCTCCTCCATCCTAACCACATGCTCAGACCATTGTTACCTCCTAGACTTCACAACACTAACAACATTAGCTAACCTGTATAAGTTTGGCACCATGTGAGGTTCTGAATTGTCCACTTCTTACTTCATAAACCCAATGATTTTCTTGCGCACTTTCTTTTCAGACGATAATAATTTTTATTCCTTACTCAGAGACCATATTTTACACCCATGTAGAATTATTATGTTATAATCTCTATTTTCAGCATTTTGAAAAACAAGCAGGATGGCAGGAGTTTTTAAACTGAATAACAATACACATTTACAAAAGTTATTCTTCTCTTTGTGTCATGAAACTCATTTATATTTGTTAGTGTTGTTCCCAGGTTCTTCAGTTTTTAAACATTTTCCAGTTTTTACTATATGTAGTTACATAAACTGGTACCTAAATGGACCATGACTCATTCAAAAATACCAGTTAAATATGTTTTTATACCGTATGTTTATACATTGTTTACACTTATTTCAGTTATGTAGGTATTTTTTAAATGATAAATTGATAGACATTGATCTTTTAATCCTTGTTCATCACTACTTGCCCCTTTTAATTTTTCTACACAAATTAAGCACATGTACATTTATAATGTCCAGATTATCAGTCCCCTTCAAGTTCCTGGCCAGCATTCATAAAAGTTCTGTTCTGTTCCAGTCCAGGATTCAGTCTTACCTTCCTAACAATCTCAGAATCACAAAGAATAAACTGAAAGTGACCCCATTCGTTTGCCATTTTTCAATTAAATGTTTAACTCATTATGTTCCATTCCAATGTCAGACTGAATTCTAATTCAAAATAAATTTAATTTCTGGGAGCATATTTACATGTGTATGTGTGTGCATGCAGTAAGCTCTCATTCTGCTGCAGAATTGGATGTGCTGTGGTTTTTGTCTAGTCCCCCAGTACCATTACCATTACCCCATGAAATATCCCAGATAAGACTGTAGTGCAACATTCTTTCTTGTAGTATGCAGGTACAGAGAGTGAAGTCCATGGTTCACTATGGAAAGGCTGTATGTACCTGTTGTCTCTAACCATGGGATTATTTTGTTCAAAGAGTGAAATTTAATGAGCACCCCTTTTATCTGCTTGACCACAGATGGTCAGAAACCCTGCTGATGGTAAGTATTTTTGTCACTGCATAAATACCATATAAATAACAACAATGGTCTACTTGTGCGCATGTTTTATTTTTTTTTTTTTTGGGGGGGGGGGGGGTAGGATTAGTAACATTGTACTGCAAGAGCAAATACATATCTCTGCATTGTTTGTTCTTTTTCAGACCTGGAAGCAATTTGTTATGGCTTCATTTGCTTGACTTTTCCAATCTTTATTGGTACTAGAATCCAATCAATATTAAGCAGATATTCCAACAGGCATATATAATTTCTCTTGAATATGACGATAGATAAAAATGGAGCTAACACAGCAGACTCTAGTTTATACATAGTATGTACTGCCTTTATTAACTGTTTTGAGAGATGGAATCCAATTAGAGTGTCAGTTAGTTCCTCTTTATCTTTTCATAATCAACAGCAGCCACATAGGTAAGTTACTAGTGAATATGTTTACACCTAAAATAGATGTATGATTGAAATTCATGATATTATATACTGGCAAGTAAGTTTTGTGACGTATCGGCCACCAACTGTTGTCATGCTTATGAAATCTTGGACATTATGATGAGCTGCTCGTGTAGCAAGGATGGGGGAGACAGGATTTTGGTGGGAAAACTTCTTGGAAATATAAGACCAAAGATATGGGAGGATCATCACTGTCTTCATCATTTCATCAGTCTCTTCTTTTTCTTCTGTAAGAAGGGTTGACTTAGGAAGTCCCATTCTGAAGCTAAGTATTTCCTCTTCTGTTATATTCATATTGTTAGTGCACCAAAGCGGTTTATCATATATTAATGATTGATAGAATACAGTATACCTGAATGCTGCCTGTAAACTTTAAAACAATTGCAGAATTGATAAATAATAAATAGTTATTCTGTTATGAGACCATCATCACTAAAGCACCGTCCTCTCACTGATACATAGATCTCATAAGCAGTATTCTCATTGGCTTTTCCAACCAAAATTATGTATGAACTTTTTATTTTCTGATCATTCCACTTCTCTGAACCTTCTTCATGTAATCACTGTTAATTATATCAATTGGGCTTTACAAATTGTGAAGTACTTCTTATGACACTGCAAAATTTAATGTAGAAAAGTAAATGTTTCAAGTTGTGCTCTGATGTCTGTACTGTGTTGTTCTGAAATGCAGCAATGAGCTGCAGACTGGAATCATGCCAGCAAGCTAGACATGTATTGCTTCCAACCTATATATGAAATGAGGTCATTACTTTGGCAACTCTTCAGGGTACATTCTGGTTCCAAAAACATGGCACATCAATGGTGTTAGACAACATCAGTTATATAACTCTGTTGGTTCTCAGTTTGCCTTTGGTACTGAATATTCCTGTAAGTGTCTAAAATGGAACTGGTCACTTCTCCAGTCAGTTTTATTCATCAGTGTTTTGATTTCAGTGGAGTTCTAGGTAGAAATACTAGTTTGTGTGGGTGAGTGATGTCTCTGTAGGTCAGCAGGTGATTCCTGAAATAATCTGCTAGTTTTTTCTTGGACACAGCTTTTACCAAGAGTATCATATCAGGATATGGTGGTCTTCTTAGTAGCTGACAGTGGCACTGGATGCACGGATCATGGAGGATAAAACCCCTCCAGGTGAGCATGACAATTGACAATTGAATCTGTCCTAGTTCATTCAGCCACCTAGCTGTTCATGGATGGAGCGTTTATTTTTAATCATGCACAAGGACTGGTGTTTTGCTTAGGAGCCAGATATTGCATTCACCAACCACACTTTCAGATGTTATTAATGTGGATAGGCTGTTAACCATTTAGCATGGGTAGTGGCTATAATGTTTTATAATGTTTCTGTTACAAGACAGAAGAACAAGGTGTGGAGAGTACATAAAAATTTCTTTGACTTTACAATAAGATTTGGTGCACATTATAATGTGACATTTTGGAATTTAGTTTTAGTGTAAATATGGTTAGTCATTATGTTATATACTTTTGTTAGAACAGCCTTCTAAGATGTCACTAATTTCTCAGCTGTATTGTATCACCCTTGTGCCTCATTGTATTTCCTTACTCAGACCAAGCAGGGGCACTGCAACAAAGAGACTTCTCTGAACTCAGTTCACACTGTTCTAGTGGACAGATTTTGAAACACTGTATACCTGTCCTTCCTTCAGAACACATCCCCAGATGACTGAATATAACCACTTGCTTTATTTGGGATCAGTGCCAAATGAGTTGTATAAAACTTTGTGCCAATTAGTATTAACCTCAGCTTCCAGGTTATTACTCCCTACATACATGCATAAGAAGTTCTGTGAGGAACAAAAAATTTCTTTCTTTTAAATCCCTCTCCTTGAGTACAGAAGCCAGTCATATGAAATTTAATGAATGTGTAAGGTAAAAAAAGGTAAATTTGTCCTTGTGCAATTAAACACTATACCATGAAGACATATGGTGAGGGGATATATAGATCCACATTTTCTTGACCTCAGCACTAGCTAGAGGTGAGTGGTCAGCTTCACGCCCCAGCCGCTTTACTCCTGGGGAAAGAGCCCCTGGTACCCATTGGATAAGAGGTTGGGTGGGCCCCAGAGCCAGTTTGGATGATTCTTGACCCTACTGGGACTTGAACTCTGACCCCTCAGTTGTGCAGCCTGTAGCTAGTTGCTATACCGACTGCACTATCCTGGCCCCTCAATGAATGTGTGAGAAGTTTTTTTTTAAAGATCTTGCTGGCATTTATGCAGCCTATTTTACAATTAGTTTTAACCATATATATGTTACTTTTTACACCAATCGTTTGGTCAGACCATTATACAGTTTGTCAAGTGTTTAATTTTATTCTGTTAAGTACTGGGATTTTTTTGGGGGGTGGGGGGAGAGGTTAATAAAGTTTACTTCTGTCAAGGTACAAAGTAGCTATGGCCGCTTGCATGGCTTTAAACCCACTCACCCACTGTAACTCAGTATGGAATTCTAGTAACTGAAAGTATGCAAACATAACATCCAAAGTTTGTGGTTTTATGTCTTTGTGTTCCACCATAGGCATGGGAAACAGGTTCATATGAAGTGTGTGCATACATTAACAAATTCTGACCTTATTAAATTTCACAGATCAAACAACAGCAGTTCATTACTTATTGCCAAGTAATCTACGAGTAAACCTGATTACTGTGTTGACACTATTTTCTTTCTAACATAACTTTTTGTCTTGGGCAGTTGTTGGGATACATCTGCCTTCCCCCACCCCCCCAAGCTTTTTAGGCATGTCTGATTGCATAGCAGCCAGTGCCAGGAAGAAACAAGATATGTGCATTTCTAATTCAGTGCAATAATGCATTTTCATTTTCTCCATAAGGGAAAGAACCTGAAATTCACCGGATGCTTCAATTACATGCATGGGGAATCTTGCAGTTTTCAGTGCTGTAATCAATCAAATTATTCAGAGAAGTGCCAGTATGTGGAGAATGAAGCTTACCATAGCATGAATTGACAAGGTCATATTGAGAAACAAGAATATCTGCAGTTGTATGTGAAGTAATGTTAGTGTTTGTGGTGTTGACAGACACATACACCAAAACAATCTGAGATCCAGTAAACCCACCCCAAGCTGTTGTTATTAGAGAAAATAGCAATGTGTGTTCAAATTTCAGTGGTTGTGAATTAATGACATCGGAGAAAAGGGGTTGTCTTTAAAATCATATCTTACACTTTTATGATAATGGGTTCATCATTTTACTCCCAAAAGCAAACTATCTGGAATAGAGTGGAGACACAAATTTAACACTAAAAAGAAAATCAAGACTGTAGTTTCAGCAAACAAGGTGATGGCCACTGTGCTTTGGGATGATAATGCATTATTATCTGGAACTTCTGGAAGAAGCCATATAATTAATGCTGGTCACTACTAAAAGTAAAGTTGTCCCTGTGCTTAACTTATTAAGCACTACGTCATGAGCTGTATGGTGGAGTTGATATATAGAGCCACACTTTTCTTAATCTTGGTCTAACTGAAGGTGAGTGGTCAGCTTCAAGCCCCTGCCACTCCTATCCTTCTATCCAATGGGTACCGGGGGCTCTTTCCCTGGGGATAAAGTGGCCGGGTCATGAAGCTGACCACTCACTTCCAACTAGTATCGGGGTCAAGAAAACATGGATCTATACATCCACTCCCCATATGTCTTCATGGCGTAATGCTTACTTAGTTAAGTACGGGTACAACTTTACTTTTACATATTCCCTAAATTGAAGAATATTTGGCATTCAGTGAGTCTGATATTAACTTTCTATGTGCACAGAACTTTCTGTGTTCTAGGATGTAAGAGTCATGGCAGCGGTTACCTATGAAAGTTAACTTCCTTCAAGATAAAGCCGTAAATTTCTGATAACAGTTTCTAGGTCTCTGGGAGATGAACTGTGGAATGGCAGAAATCAGATAACAAGAAATTTATTGTCTCATGGTAATTAAATCAAGGTCAAATGTAGGAGATAAGAATTACTATTCTCTTGGGCTAGCAAAGGAATGTAGCCACTCGTAATATTGATATGAAGAAAACAAGACACTGTTAAACTGAATCTAACAAAACAAGTTATGGTGTTGTAGATTATATTAAGCTGCCTCAGAATACGGTTCCAGGCAGAGATTTTTCTCCTTTGGGTAGTAAACCTTCAAGCTCTTTTATACTAGAGAATGTCAAGGTTTGCTTGCTGGATGGCAGCTGAGATAGCGGAAGAACATTCTGCAATATTATCGAATTACAAGAGAAACTGCTGCATTTACTGTTCATATTCGTACAATCTGCAGTCGCATACTTTTGCTACCAGGTTTGTAGAGAAAATAAAATATTAACTCAGAAGAAAACTAACATAACAATTTCCGTTCCTCATAATATAATTTAGCATTCTACAAGTCACTTTATTTTCCACTGTGGTGGCGTATGCTGTCTGCACATCCATCAATGATCTGGCCAGTTTTCATGAAATTAAGCATGAGTGTCAAGTGACTCACGTTTGTATTTGCTGTCCACAGTAACAAAGTGGCTGTGGACGTTCAGAGGTGGCAGCAACAATGTTTCTTCTAGATCATGGCGACCGCGCAACATCTATAGTTAGCTTTAATTTTAACAACGACAGCTAAGGAACCACTGAAACTTTGTACAGAGAAACACATCTACGAATTTTGTAAAACATATTTCAGGATAGGGACCAGTGGAAGGCTCTTGTGAACACGGTACTGAACCTTCGGGTTCCATAAAATGCTGGGAAATTCTTGAGTGCCTGCGGAATTGGCAGCTCCATGAGTAGGTAAGTATATTTTTTAATTAGAAGTTACAAAGCTGAAGACTGCGAAAATTTGATACCTTGTACAATTCCAGCCATCATGCATCTACCACCTCCCGTCCCCATAAAGACGTACCGCTGGGAGGATCTACGACGAGCCCGAATTCGAGGTGGCTATCCATGGACTCACCTAGACAAGCCTCCTCTAGATAGCTCCGCGTGGAAAGATATGAGGTATGTTCTTACATATGATCCCCAAAGTCTTAAACGTAGAATCGCAGGGTGGAATAATTTACGAAAAAGAAGCAAGATAGACAAAAACTGGAGAGAGTGACGAATGGGTGGATAGGAGTGTGAGACTGAAGAGGTAGAGAAGGAAAGAAGGAGAGATAAAAATAAAGTCATTAACCTCCCCGCTAAGTGAGATTACCCACCTCTTATCGTTAATTTTACAATGAAAAGCGAAGGATTTGAGGCTCTCACAGCGGTGGTGATGAAGAGTTCCATCTTCTGGGATATAATGCCGTGTGTTCCGTTGAAAATCAACCAACATTTCGGAGGAACAAACTCTGCTTGCTACATACTGGTATATTCCTTGGCTTATTCTTCGACACTGAAAATGGAGGCGATATATTCCGCCGAAACGTTGGTTGTGAGGCATCAAGGCTCCCACGTTTTCTAGACAATCGGCTGACAGATGGCGGTGAGGTTCGTGTGGCTTAATTATGAAAATAAAATTTGGGCGAAGCACCAAGAAAATAAACGTAAAAATCCATTTAGGCCCTTAGATAAAATTGCCTTTAAAATTAATCAAAGCAAACCATAATCAAGCATGACTTGACAAAACTTAGTACAAGGATCTACAGTACAAAGTATGAAGAAAGTGATGTAGTCAGGCGCTGTTATTTTTGGAGAGACGAGTATACCGCTTAGAGTAAAGGTGAAGTTCTTGTGCTTAATTACTTCCCGTACCATAGAGACGTAAGGGACAGTGGAGATATACCTTCATGCATTCTTAACCTTGGTGCTAGATCGAGGTAAGTGGTCAGCTTCACATCCCAGTCGCTTTACTCCCTGGAAAAAGGAATTTCGGTGTCCATTGAATAGGAGAATCGATGGGCATTAAATCCGGTTTGAATGTTGTGAAGAAGAGAGAAATCCCTCACCTGTGCCAGGATTTGAACCTCAAATCCTCGGATATCCAGTCTCTAAACCGACAGATGTATGATGTTCGAAATGCATCTAAAACGAAACTAACTTTACATAACGTAATCTAAATTTATTGGAATTTTCTCCACGTATACCTGATCCAAACGCTAAGAGTTTACTTCGTGGAAAATGTTGTGCACCACGAGACGAAAAGGTGATGTTGGCATTAAGAGATGCATGTCACCCCTCGACCCCCGGTTCACTCTCCTCAATCCAACGTCTCCACGACGGGCGATAGCGTATTTGTGGAAACAATGGAGCCGCGCCAGCGGGAACCACAGAAAACTTCGTCCAAACTATCGACCTGGCGACTTCAAGTATTCATCCCAGGAAACAATCAAAATGTAACAGCGAGATCAGTCGGCACTGGGATCGGGAGTTTAGATCCCATATAACTTATTTCTGTGCTTTTCTGTGTAGGTAGATAGATCGGTTCAGCAAGAAACATTCTAATGTTCGTGATTTTAATGTACTCTTTACGTATTTCATTACGTACCTGCAGACTTAATACTACGTTTTTCATATGCGTCAACCAATATTTACGCTGCTATTACGATAACTGTACAAAGTAGTAATAGTTTCCCTTGCGCCTAAGTATCACGCCAGGAAGTCATATAGGAGACTGCAGCGCATTTTTAACCTATATACTAGGTGTAGGTGGTCAGATTCACACTGTAGCAGCTTTATCCCGGAGAAAGCGCTCGCGACACCCACTGGACAGAAAGCTGAGTAGATTCTTCAGCTAATCTGAACACGGTGATACGATAAAAAATGTTTTATTCCTGCCCGGAACTGGTCTTTCAGCCTGTATTGATCACACCTAGGAAGGTACTATAATGAAACGCACAGTAACAATAACAATTTGGTGTTAGTAAAGAGTTCTATAGCAAATGTGTCTCATAAGAGACCAGAGAGCATAGGACCGAAGACATACTAACATTAACAAACAAGAAGATCTACGATGTCTGTTTTCCTTTAAACTCTTCCGCCGTATAGAGGTCAATGAACTTACTAATTCTGTCATAAACAAACAAAACACAATACACAAAACACAACAATAAGGACATCCTACCACAGTGAATACAAACCAAATACGATTAACAACTACAACAATTACAGAGAAATACAAACAACTGCAACAAATACAACAACAACAACAACAACAAGGACATCCTACCACAATGAATATGCTTACACGTCGCGTAAAAATAATAAAATAAGACACCTGTGAACCGAAAATGCCCTTCTTCACTTGGAACAGAACAGAAAGTCAGCTCTACAGATATGACATAGGGAGCTGCAACGACTGCAGAAACCTCCACCCTTTTACCTTATAACATTTTCCGTGTTATATAAGAAATGTCTTGCTTAGAAGCAACAGTTGGATGTATATTTCGTGTATGAGAAGATCACTGAAATAACATGCCACGCCATCTCTTGACAGTTCAGGCCAAATAATCATGTTTTTCAAGAGTAAAAGTAAAAAGTAAAGCTATCCCTGTACCAGGCCCTGAAGGCCCATAGGGTTGTGAGACGTTGAGGGTCCCACATTATCTAGACAATCGGCTCACAGATGGCGGTAAGGTTGTTAGCCTTACGCGCCGGCCGCGCTTTACTCCTCAGGAAAATTATTTTATTAATTCCTGATACTCATCTCTGTTAGAGACTGAGTAAACCCCAGGGCCTAGTGTGGCTGGAAGGATTAAGTCAACTGAAAAAATCCAATGACCTCATCGGGACTTGAACCAGCGACCTTCCGGCTTGTAGCATAGCCCCTCAACCAACTACGTTACCGCGTGCCCCCCTAGAACAGAAATTAAACGTTCTGATTGAGATAGGATGCTAACCAAAGTGAATTTCTATAAATACAGAGCAGCATGACAATGGTTAACATTCACACGAACGGAGACAAATATTGCGATCGCGCCTATCAACACAAACACAAACTGTTTAGCTTTAAAATAAGCCGAGAGGCAGAACGCATGCGTTTAATTAAAGCAATAAAACAGTTTCTTAAAGAAAAAATATGGCAATAAATAGATTAGAGTCGGTCGCTTTCGCCTGTTTTCGCTAGTGTGACAATACGACTGGTGGCGGGTCACTAGAGTGTCAGGTGCAAGCAGACGGTCACTAACATCATGAGCTAGGTGGTCGCAGCATGCAGCAGAACACGCGGGGCCGATCTGAGGAGCGCAGGCCGCGGTCGCAATCTCAGTCCCAGCTGCCCAGGAGGGCCGCCTCCCGCGACTCATCTGTGTCCAGTAGCAGCCGGGAGGTGCGCTGTGGCTGCCAGTTCTATCAGTCCGACAGCTTGCTCCCCGAGAGGGTGAACCCGGTCGGCAGGCCGGCCAGTCGCAACAGTGGCACCATGGCTTCGTCCTCGCCACAAATCGGGTGAGTTCAGGGGCTTGGTGACGTCTTAATCCCCACTAAGTGACGAAGGATTGTTACCGACATTTGATCTTAACCCCTTCTGTATTACAAATGCAATATTTATTTATAGTCTTTTAACAAAGCGGCCAGTAACTTGGACTATACAGCGTCGACTGGTAGGGTGTATAGTGAATGCTGAATTAGAAAGAATGTGGAGGGAAGAGGTCGTGACCAAATTTGAAGTGCTATCTGGAATTTTCTTGGAGGTGCTGAGCGAAATCTCACTGTGTAACCGGTCTCTGAGCCAATATTTGAACCCGGATCTTCCGAATATGAAGCAGAAGTGCTACTCACTCAGCTGAGACGGTACAAACGAGTATCGTCGTTCAAAAAGTGGGTGTGACGATATGGATAAAAGAAAGTGATAAGCTATTGCAAACTGCTGTGCAACAGTTAGAACAGATGAAAAGGGCAGGCATGTTATAATAATTCAACATAGGAAGGCTTGATTCTCTTCTATGAAGTGTTCAGCACTGTGGATATAACCAGGACACGCCAGGGATCGTGAAGTGCCGGGTGGGTTTATTGTACCGATATTTTAGCTGCACGTATGCTTAATCTCCGAAATAATTCAATGGCCTGCCTTGAAATTTAATATTTTGGGTCTATAGGCGAATTTAATTTCGGTGTATTATAAACCTGATTCAATCTCAAATTGAGAATTTAATATTTTTTCCTTCAAAACCTGTTCATCGTACAAAACACAGGTGCATAACACAAGTTACACAGATATCTTCAATATTTTCGGCTTTTTCTTGAAACATTTTATGTGATATTTAATTAAACAAGAATGAAAATAATTCATTGGTCTAATATCCGTACCATGTTTAGTTCTTCAACAGTAGATGTTTATCAGCAGCAAGTAACCATAAACATCAAAAGTGTATGCAAAGTCGTAAAGAACTCATTCGGAAAATATGTCTAGCCGCGTTTTCTTGTAACTGATTATTCCGGTCATTTTATTTAAGCAGTGTCCAAACTGTGAGATCCAGGCGGTTTAAGTAAACACAGTTGGTAACAAGTAACTCGCATTTTATAACCCGAAACCAGCTTCGGTCTCTCCAGTGGGATATAATACTGTCTGTCTTAGAAAGTTCTGTCTACACGTGTTTTAACGTGAAGAAGAAATAGAATTAAAAACAGAAAATGTTACAACTCTATTTTTACATCCACAGTCCGATTTCAGGAACACTGTCCTGTACAGAAAAAACACGATACTCTGTCAGTTATTCATATTCTATTTTTGTACTTGTTTACTTCATAAAATAATTTAAATTACACGAAACACATATATTGTCCTATCTTTTGTATGAATGTAAATACTCCTTTCGATCTGAGAAACAAATTTAAAGTATGGAATTAAGTTACTAAGGGAAAAATTGAAGCGTAAAATGAAGTAAACGATAAATGTTAAAAAAATAAAATTACATAGTTGGTTGCGGCACTATGCAATAAGCCTGAAGGTCGCGGATTCAATTCCCGATGAGGTCACGGGATCTTTTAATTGACCTAATCCTGCCAGCCGCACTATAGCCCTAGGGTAGACTCAACCTTTAACAGAAATGAGTACCAGAAATCTTCCTGGGGGGTAA